ATATATATAAAGGAGCTGGTCATAAAATTTGAATATCATGAAAAAGTTTTTTATTTCAGTAACTCCATTCATAAAGGGAAACTTGTATATTACTTTCATTCATTGCACACAGACTGATATATTTCAAATGTTTATTTCATTTAATGTTGATTAATATAACTGACAACTAATGAAAACCCCAAATTCAGTATCTCAGAAAATTAGTGTATTGTGAAAAGGTTCAATTTTGAAGACAACTGGTGCCACACTCTAATCAGCTAATTAACTCAAAACACCTGCAAAGGCCTTTAAATGGTCTCTCAGTTTAGTTCTGTAGGCTACACAATCATGGGAAAGACTGCTGACTTGACATTTGTCCAAAAGATGACCATTGACCCCTTGCACAAGGAGGGCAAGACACAAAAGGTCATTCCTAAAGAGGCTGGCTCTTCACAGAGCTCTGTGTCCAAACACATTAATAGAGAGGTGAAGGGAAGGAAACAATGTCTGCTGATCAACTTTATGGAGATGCAGATTTCATTTTCCAACAGGACTTGGTGCCTGCACACATGCCAAAGCTATCAGTACCTGATTTAAGGACCATGGTATCCCTGTTCTTAATTGGCTAACAAACTCGCCGGACCTTAATCCCATAGAAAATCTATGAGATATTGTGAAGAGGAAGATGTGATACACCAGACCCAACAATTCAGAAGAGCTGAAGGCCACTATCAGAGCAACCTGGGCTCTCATAACAACTCCATGCTACACCGCATTGCTGCAGTAAGCCAGGCCAAAGGAGCCCCAAGTATTGAGTGCTGTACATGCTCATACTTTTTAGTTGACCAACATTTCTAAAAATCTATTTTATTGGTCTTAAGTAATATTATAATTTCCTGAAATACTGAATTTGAGGTTTTCATTAGTTGTCAGTTATAATCATCAACATCAATCCATCCATCCATTATCTTTACCCGCTTATTCCATTTTGGGTCACGGGGGTCGCCGGTGCCCATGTCCAGCAATCACTGTGCGAGGGGCGGGGTACACCCTGGACAGGTCTTCAGTCCATCACAGGGACACATGGAGACAAACGAGACAAACAACCATTCACTCTCTCACTCACACCTAGAGACAATTTCGAGTTACCAATCAGCCTAACATGCATGTTTTTGGTCTGTGGGAGGAAACTGGAGTACCCGGAGAATTCCCACGCATGCACGGAGAGAACATGCAAACTCCACCCAGAAAGGCCCCTGGACCGAGATTTGAACCAAGGACTTGCTCGCTGAGAGGCAGCAGCTCTACCAGTTGCGCCATCGTGCTGCCAACATACATAAAAAGAAATAAACATTTGAAATACAAAGTATATCAGTCTGTGTGTAATGAATGAATATAATATACAAGTTTCACTTTTTGAATGGAATTACTGAAATAAATAAACTTTTTTATGATATTCTAATTTTATGACCAGCACT